CCTGAACCCTACACCGTTCTTTGCCCAAAAAACATGCCAGCACACGACGGCTCTACTCTTCGGGCAGGTAATGCTAAGGTCTAGGATACAGAGTATAGAGTTTCTGGCTTTCGAGTTATATAGGGTTTGGAGTTTTATAAGGCATAGTGAGCTTCTGGTCGACGTTCGGTTTTCATGTCGCAATTTGTTGACAAAGATGCTGGGCCAGAAGCATGTGTTCCCAACAGAGGTAAACGGGCTATATTGTAGGGACTACTATAAGAACTTCCAGCAAAAAAACTAGTAGTTGCACGTAGTTGCTCGAGGGTTAGGCACATGGGGCTTTAGTATGATCCGAACCTCATATCAAGGACTTCATAAAACTTGCCTAGAGGCCATTCGGTGCTAGAGAGTGAAGTTTTGATTCGTGTCAGGAAAAACATCATACGATGTGTTCCAGGAGAACACCTTCGCCGGCAAGGTTTCCAGTTTCCATGTGGGCGGTGCGCAGAAGCAGCCCCACCACATGTGCGTTTCAAGGCATGCCCTGAAAGGTGAGTCCCCAGAGCTTGATGGTCCCAGAACTGTCTGGCTGGGAACTCTGCCAACGAACCTAGGCCGACGCCGAATCAAACGTGCATACAGTATGTAGCATGTGTACAGAAGACCTTTCTGTTAGCTTTGGTTTTTATAGGTCCCAAGATTGGTTTGCAACATTGTTCTTTGTTTCATTCGTTTTAGTTCTTACCTCTGCGAACAGTCCAGAAATCCCAGAATCCGAAATCTTGCGATCTGTGTGCTGGGTAGGGATCTTTTAGGTTCTATTTCATGGAAGTTCCCAGTAGGATGCCTTACAGATGCCTTACAAAGGGCTCCATTTAATAAGGATCTTACGACTCAAGATTTGAATAAGTCATCTGTCTTCATGGTTCCGGCTTCGACCGGAGCACGACAAACACGAAAGCAACGGCATCAGACAGCAGAAGGAGACAGACTTAGCCGCAGACTGTTTTGACTCGAACCTGGAGTCTGCCCAATGATGTTCGGATTAGTGAACTGAATCATTTTTTTTATTTCTCGGCTTTAGGATTTAGGGTCTAGGGACCCTAAACCCCAAACCTGGATAGGGGGCTAAAGCCCAAAAAACCCTCCTCAAAAAAGAATGGTTCAGGGTTCGGGATCCTTGTTGTTGTTTGAAGACTTCTTGGAGCTGGCAGTGACCAGTTCTTCACGGGGTTGGTTTTGGGGTTGGGGTTCCTAGGGCTTTTTAGGATTTAGGGGTTTTAGGGTTCTTAGGGCCTTTAGGGTTTTGTAGGTTTAGCGTGCTTGCGGCGTTTCGGGCCTAGGGTTCTTCGAGGTTTCAGGGGTCTTAGGGTGTTTAGGGTTTACATATTTTTGGGGCTAAGGGTCTTTGGGCTTCAGTGTTCGAGGTATGCAGCAATTCCTTTGTTTGGTTGCGGGTTGTTTGAACACGCAGAGTTATAGGGCCTGTTCAGATGTGAGATGACAGGGGCTTGCAGGTTCTGGAATCATTCCCTGGAGCGCCATTTACCTATGTAGCAGGTTACTAAACAGACGCTACGTACCCCACCAATGAAAGCACCCCATGCCAACGATTCTCGAATCTTAGCCCTAGAAGCCGTTTTGTGTTCATTGCGGTTTTGAGCTTGGGGATACCTTGCATTGATAACCCGGACCCTTAAGCGACAATGTTAGGAATCGTCAATATCTGGGATCCTATGTTATCAGGTTGCTCGTTGCATGCACCAGCTTAACTGGCAGCATTCAGTACTCTTTGCTCTTTGGGGTAGCGTGGCTCAGCCGGGCGTTTGGGGCCCTCCGCAGGGGTGTTTCATCGCTTGACCTCCGGCGGTGTCTGGTTAAACCACGACAACCCGGTGAGAAAAACACCATCAGTTATGAGTTGATTCGGAGTTTCTCAAAATGGCATGAGCTCACCATCGGCCCGAAGCAACATGATTCATGAGGCACTGCCCTTCAAAGGACATCCTGCTCTGTCTGCTGAGAAATGACGGTTTGATCAGTTCTCGCTAGTTCCGAAAGCGTCCCACATCCGGCCACTGCTATCGAGACAGGCTGGTAAATGGTGTGAGCCTTGTAGGGTTTTCCCTACGTGTGTTACATATATATATATATATATATATATATATATATATTAACTACATAAGTATATGTATGCATGTATGTACTGTAAGTTTCAATGCTTGAACTTCAGTGAATAATTCGTTCGAGAAGCACAGATATGAATGCATGTATGTTTATTGATATATACAGATGTATAGACACATACACACATGTGAAGGTAGATCCCCAGCCTTACCCTCCGAGTTCCTCAGAATCTGATCTTTCCACTAAGACAGATAACCTACAGCACTACTACGCGCAAACCCGGACAAACCCTGTTGTCGGATGCTTTGAATCCTAAGGGCTACAGGCAAAAACCGGACCCAAACGTCGAATACTGCCTGGGGCAACCTCGCGCGAGAGACCCCGAAAGAGCAGCCTCACCCAGAGTCGGGTGTATGTACGTACGGTACGTACAGTATACAATGAGCAAGTCTACATGGGACTTTAATCGATCCCAGCTGATTTCAGAGGGCCGCAAGGGATGGGAGTCTAACATGCAGTCCTAACAGCTCGAAGTCAGAATTCCAAGGGCCCGGGTTGCCTGTGGATTCAATAGCCTAGTATTAGGGCTATTTGGGCTTAAGGTAGAAGCCAGAAAGTTGGAATATGATTATCCTAACCCCTTCAAGGTAAATTAAAGGGGATCCTACCATGAAACCATATTCCAACTTTCTGGCTTTAACTGTAAGGCGGTTTAGGTTTGAGCTCACCAGGTCGTGGTCCGGAGTCCAGGCACGCAAAAAGGGGGTTGAATGGCTGAACGGTTCATTGTTCTTCTCCGTCGCCGTCTAGTTGGAAGGGGTTTACGTACAGTAGAGAGAGCACCCACAGACCCTGCAAAGCTCACGCTGTTGCTGTTCCAGGGTCACGCAGCGGATGATCTGCAGAGCCTCTTGCTGGGACACTTCCGCCTCAAATAGAGGCCGCTTCCGCCCCAAATAGACTTTCGAAACTTCCAATGGTTTAGGGCGCAGGCCCTTCGTGCTCTGTGTTACAGGTCATAGGGGAAAATGTGTGGGTAATAGCTGACAACCTGGATATAGACTACAAGTACTTATGGTGTTACTATGCCTAGGACTCCGTCTCCCTAAGCCCTACCTGGACCCTGAGTAACCTATATACCATTTGCAGGACTTGGAATGGAAATCGTTACAGCGAACTCTCAAACAGCAGGTTCTATAGGGTTCAGGCTAAGCACTAAACCCTATCTTGCTCTGAAACTCCCCTCATGCAGCGTAGAGGCTTTGCCACGGAATCCTCCATCCTGAGCCCTCCAGCACCCTGCACAACAATTGGGCCCAAACCCTCAACCCAACGTTTTGGCTCCTTTTGCTGGGAGAGTTCTATGTACATGCAGTTGGAGAAGAGCCTTCAACAACACCAGAACAAGTCAAGCCGCAGCTATCGAAGACTTTTCATTCAGCACCCAGCCAGGCAACAAATACAGAACATGAGCGCCCTGATTTAAGTCTAGGCTGTCTCGGGCAGATTCTAGGGTTTTTTCTGAGCTCAGGGTATCTCAGGGTAGACTGATTTCTGCTTTCTTTGACTGGCCTGCAAGCGATTAAGAGCCCGTCTTCTGTAGTAAAGGGAATCATGATCAGTTGTGGCGTTCAAGGAAGGAGTCTGGCAAGATGGCTTTATAAAGCTCTGCAGCAAAGACACCAACCACGGTACCCGGCTGCTATTGCTGGGCGTTTCGGTGGCTCGGTGCACCTACGACCTACGAAGGCGTCTTGAAAGCTTCGTGAGAAGTAAGGTCAGCACAAGACACCTTAACGATCCAAGGCAAAAGGTGAGATTTACGTTTTGGATTAAGGTTTGTCATGCGGGGGTGGGTAGCTTTAGGGATTCAAGGTTTTAGACTAGAACTTTGGATGTGCCCTGAAGTTCCTCATGAAGTACCAGATACAGCACGACATGCTGCTGACTTCTTCGAAGCTTGTCGTTGCTGATGGATGTTCCAATGTCCATAGTGGACATGAGGGCATCTCAGCCATTTCATTAAACTGTTGCTCGTCCCGGGAGTTGACTCTGGATGGACACGCTCCAGGAAAAGACCACGGCTTGGAATGACAGTAGGAAGCGAAGTTTGCGTTTGGGGCACCAAACTCACTTGGAAGCAAACAGTGAACTGACACATCCGAGTGCCCGAGCTTTGAACCACGGAGCCATAAACAGTGTTGTTTGTTGAGGGGGCAGGGTCGGACGGACAAAACCCTTTTTCAACTCGGCACGTGCCAAGATCTGGAGTTGATTCAGGAAAAGGACATGTTTGTAAAGGGTCCTGAAACGCCTTTTGGGCTCTCAAGTTCTGGGGCTTTGGGCTTTGTAAGGGCCCTTAATTTGGGCAACATGCCTTAGCATAGTATGATATCTGTGTAACTTTAGTTCTTTAGTTTATCGATACTTGGCGCTGTAGGTATGTCCCATTAAACCTGACGAACCTGACGTGCTTCTGTTATTTCTTGGTTCGGGATGGGATAAATCGGATTTAGGGATGTTTATAGAGCCCTACACGGGTTTAGCGGGTGCACATCTCTAGAGCTTTTCAACCACTCGCATTGCTTTCGACTTACAACTTATAGTCCCTTCCGAAACAATCCGTACGAGACTTCCTCCCCTTTCGACTTCCGAAACCAAAAGGTTTCGAACCTGAGTCAAAAACAATTTGGAAAACAGGGGTTAGCCCTCCTCAAGCAACTTAGCACTCAAGCCGTTCTACCATCTGCATGGCCTGTACCTGCACCCTGAACCCCCTACAAAGAGGCTTGAACCTTCTTGGATGCCCAGGTGGCAGGGTACCCTATAGAAATCCTAGCAGGTAGACCACAGGTCTAAATGCCGAATGTGCGGTGTCGGGCATTGAGGTCATGGGTGGCGACTCCCCGCAGACTCCACAGCGTGGTGCTACTGGGAATGCACTTAACATGTGTTCAGAAGCCGTAGATCTGAAACCCTAAACCATAAATCCTGCGTGAGCGAGTGTGCGTGTCGAAACCATAAATCCTAAACCCGATCCCAACCCGATCCCACGGAGGGCATCTGAAGGGTTCAGAGCCGACTTTATGGGTCCAAGTTCCCTCAAAAACTCACCTGCAATAGTCTTATCCCGTATGCAAGTACCTGGTTGCTGGGTTCCCTTTGCAATTAGAGCTACCTCCTGGGAACTATTCGAGTATATAGTGCACATGTACATACATATATATATATATGTATGTATATACGTATGTACATACTCACGTTTAAATATACACAGCAAAGGGCACTCACGGCACTCCCAGGCCGCATGTATTTGAGAAGACAGATCATGAACCTTCCTGTTCTTCCTACGTGTTGCTTGTCAGTGGACGGAGTTTGGGACTTTCAGGGTTAGTGGTTAGGACAAGCAGCTTGTTTTTGCTATCCACTCTCCGCCGCTACGCCATCTCCATGCCCACTCACCCACGCCCCCCTGACAGTGGCTTTTGTCTTGCGGACAAGCCGAATTCAGAGTAGAAGAAGTTTGGTTGAAGGGTGCCGGTGTCGCCAGTATTTCTGTTTTGGGGTTGCGGTTTGAGAGACTGTGGCCCGCAACCCTTTGCCAGTTGTCCAGTGGAGCAGCCGAACATTACGCCCTACCCATAGGCCCCAAAGTAGTTCCTTTTTGGGATTACCTAATAGAATTCTATATATGAACCCCAAAAAGGAACTGCTTTGGGGCCTTTGGGTAGGTGTCAAGTATAGCAGGGCGGCCAGAAAGCAGTTCAGCCAAGTTCAGCCGTAAAGGTGAAAAGCTTAACTGAAGCCCGTATAGAGGTTTAGGGCCTATGTGGTTTTTACATCAACTATTATTATTATTATTTATTATCACTGTTTTTCCCTCATCATTCTTGTAATTAATATCAAACTTGATACTATTATATGGTGTGTATATATATATACACATACACACCCCAAAGTAGCGTATACACACTCAGCTTCTTGGGCTCATGCGTTGCTCGGAGAGCTCGCCCGGATCGTCCCTGTTGAGAAGATCTTGATGCTGTGGGAGTCGAAACCTTGAAACTGAGTCTTACTTACGAGTTTGTGTTCTTGTTTGGAGTAAAATAAAACCCAAGGCGATTCTAAACAATCAAATTCTTTTGGGGTCTAACGAGTGCATATCCGGGATCGACTGCCCAGGAGAGCGCGGCCTACTTCTACATAGGCGTGCTGGTTTCGGTTTAGGGTTTAACACCAGGGCTCTGGGACTCTGGGCCTTGGGTTTAAGTCAGATTCTGGGATGTATGCTGTAGGGTTAGTTTGGATCTTGGTACCGAGAGGTTGCAGGGTCCCACAGTTTGTGTCGCCATAGTGGTCCCTGTAATTAGTTGTATCGCTGAGGCTTTGTGGAGACCCGTGGGTAATACCGGGCGGCGCAAATTTGATGCGATATTCGCCATCATATGATGTGCACCGACGATTCATTTTCTGATTGAATCACAAAGCTCGGGTCTTTGAAAGATTTTACTAGGCTCCGAAACGTTCTAGACCTCGTGCTGAACATGCAGATGAAGGGTTCCGTGTTCAAGGGGAATCATCCAGGAACAGGACGACACATGCGCAGACATGTCAAAAGAAGGCAATGGCCTACTAGCATATCATTGTCCAAATTCGTTGCAGCAATCTGAAGACTAAAGGGGCGTTGCCATATCTTTGGGCTCCTTGTTAGCATTCTCGTAACAGTATTGTTGCACGGAATAATTACCATTTTAGTACGGTGAGCCCCACAAACCCTCTTGTAAATGTTGATGCCCCCATTGGTTTAGGGTTGGGATTTAGGAGTTTAGAGGTTCGGGGTTTAGGGTGGTCACGAGCACAGTCCTAACTGGCGGAAGAGCGGCAAACTACCAGGCGTCCTTGCAAGCAAGCCTGCAGCAAAAGGATGGTTTAGGGTTGGGATTTAGGGGTTTAGGGGTTTGGGGTTTAGGATGGTTTAGGGTTGGCCCCCATGTTACTGCGACAGTACCTGTACCTGTTAACCGCCTGCAGGCGATCCAGGTCCACAGACGCCCGTCGTCCTCCATCGTCGGGGACCATGCCGGGGTTGGTGTGTTTAGTTTATTTTTTTTGTTTTATGCGGGCCGTCTTAATAATTACCTGTAATTACATTGTTGGGGGCTCCTTATTATTCTTGCTATAGAATAATATTTTCACAAGCAAAATTTGGGATTCCTTACTACAGAAGGACACATGCCAAACCCTTATTCTACTTATCAAGGCCCCGAGATTAATTGGCCTCAGCCCTAAAACCCCCTCTATTCCATAAGGGGTGATCCGAAACCCGATTCCTGAACCGCGCCGGCAAGACCCCGAAAAGCCCCAAAGGGGTGCTGCTTTACAGAGGCCATCCCGAACCCCGAAAGACCAGAGCCCCCGAAGCCCTAGGAAAATTAAGTTGCCCCCGAACCTCAAGGAGCGCAGTTCAAGATCTCTGAAAATCACAGAAAAACCTTTGTTTTGTGTTTGAACCGGAGGGGATTCCCCAGCCTCAGCTTTATCCTGCGATCCCAAGTTTCTCGCAATAAATACAGGTTCTTTTCAAGTCCGAACAGGGATGACACAGAAGTTCAAGAAGTATAAAGCCCGATAAGGCCGATAAGGCGTGAGTTTCGTGCCGCAGAAATGCGTCCCAAGACTCATTTCTGGGTTGTGGAGTTCTGAGGCTTCCGCCCCCGGGATCGACATGGCAAGGCCGTGCACGTCTCTCCAGCAGCCGTGTTTGTGGAGGCCTGGCCTACGGAGTTTTAGAGGCTATAGGGGGCTTGGACCTAAAACTAAAACCCGCTACAGATGCCTAAGACCCTAAGCCTAAAACTACGGCAAGTTTGGACGGCATCTCTTCGGCCCATACAAGAACTTTGTTCTAGGTTACCCAGTAGTCCAGTAGTACCCTTTTGGCTCTTTGTTGGGTCTCCTTGTTAAAACCGACACTTGGAACAAGTGTACCCTTATTCTTACGGGGCTACTGGGGAACCTAGTTTTAGTTCTTGTAGTTGTTCCGATGGAATGGGTCAGCACGGTTTCTCGCTGGCAGTTGCCCGGCACCGTTCGGGATTTGACGGACTACTACTACTTTCGGCCTGGAGTGAAGCCGAAGCCGAAACTAGCATGAACATCACTGAAAATCCCCATAACCCTGATGCCTAAGCCCTGAACCAGACTGTGAACCCTGCTAACCCTAATCCCTGAAGCATAAACTCTAAGCCAAGGGCCCGTGGTTGTCAACCCTAGAACTCCACCGCCCAAAACATCCAGTAGCAAGCAACTTGCTCTAGCCCAGAATGCTGCAGTAGGAACTCTCATCTACGAAATATTGCTCGTCCGTGCTGGCCCTTGTAAGCAACAATGAGGCACTGTCCTGATGTTGTTGGCTTGTCGACCTCTGTAACAGTCAACCGGAGAAGCACGGTATGCCGGCTACACGGTACAAACAGGTACAATCGATAGGCCAGTACTGTATACGCTAAGCGCTACGAAAATTCCATAGCAAACGCACGCGAAGGCATGTCTCAGCTTGGCAGTTGCTGCCGGCCAGCAGCACGGCGGCAATGGCGGTTTGGGTTGACTCCTGTCGATGGAAACCCAAAAGGCCTTACTTAGGGTTATCGATTACAGCCAGCGCAACTAAAAGCCCAAACAGAGAGGGTTATGAGTGGGTCCCGGGTTAGAGGATGAGAGCTCCGAGTTAGAGGATGAAAATTATTGATGTTGAGGGTATTCCTGACCTGGGGTTGGGGGCAAGTCAAGGCTGGCTTGCTTGGTTTGAGAACAGAGGTTCATTCTTGACTCTGTAGCTTGGGGGTGACGTTGCTGCGGCTAACTAGATGCCAACCACTGACACAACGATGGCTCAGGAAGCTCATCACCATAGACACCAAGCTCCCAGACGCTTGACGCAAATCCCGGCTCCAAGTCTCGGACGATATGTCGATATGTGAGTGATTCCGGTGTCATTGCACATTTGAAGTGCATCCTTGCGCGCCTGCCTCCAAAATTGAACTTGTCCGTTGCATAGCCAACTACCTTGACGGGCTGCGAGGGCAAGCGAGCGACGATTCCACCATCTTTGGTATGTAGGAATTCGAAGGTCGAACCCAATTTCAGAGCCCTTCCGATGATATTCTTCGCCCTAAACTCTGATCAGGAGTGCCACTGCTTCGGCGAGTTTCCCGGAGCGTTTGTCGAGGGACGGCAGCTCTTATGCAAGGAAGTTTAGAGGAGGTTTCAGGGTTTGGCAGTTTAAGTGAAGAAATTGCGGATTTGGGGTTAAAGTTACTTCTGTCCTCTGTTACTACGATCGGAGCTGTGATTCATGGTGGGGTGGTGCTTCGAAGTGTGCTTCCAAAGGTCGTGATCAGTGGTCAGAATCTGTTCTGCCATACCTGCCGGCTCCGACATCATGGCTAAGAGCCTTGCTGTAGGTAATTGTGGATGGGATTCGCAAACCAGGCCTTGCCCAAAGATATCACAACTTCAAACTGTGGTCGCAAGAACCAGCTTCCAGCTTGCACATTGCTTCGTCACTTTGTCATTGGCTATTAGAACAAGTAGTGGTGGTGGTAATAGTCGGAGTAGCAGTTGCACTAGCACAGGCACCAGCACTAGCACTGGCAGTAGCGCTAGCAGTAGCAGTAGACGTGGTGTTGGTGGTGGTGGTGCTAGTAGTCATATTCTGTGTCACGCCACATCTCATGCCAGTACACGTGGGTTTGTTGTTGCCGACCTGTCGCTGCAGTGGTGTTTCGTCGTTGTGTTTGTGGTGGTTGTCGTCGTCAAGTATGGCCGTCGTTAATAGGAAATGCTGCATTGGCTTTGACCGCTGCTGCTGTTTACGGCTAGCATGTGATCCTACGGCTACTCTGCCGGTACTGGAATGTGTTTAATGCTGCTAACGTGCTTACTTTGCCGTATCGGTTATTGCAGGTCCCATCGCAGCGAAGAGGCTTACGGCAGAGTGCCGCGTTTTCAAGCCAAGTAAGCCACTGTTGCCCTGTTGCAAACACGTAAGATTGCAGATCGTACCCAAGGTCTCTTCTAGCACGTGGCAATGTCTCCAGATCAACCGCGCCTGTGGGCACAGATCCACAGCCATGCGAGCGGGAAAAACAGGGGAGCGTGTTCGTTCGGAGCCCCGTCCTACCCTAAACCCTAAAACCCTAAAAAAACCCTTACCCTTGTTTTGATCCCCTCCCTAGGTTAGCGCCGGCCCCTCTTCTCTTCGCGAGCCTTGGCATGGGAGAATGACATTTGAAGAGCTCTTTGGGGCTTTAGATGGCTTTAGCACGTTTAGATGGCTGATATTTAAGGGGCTGTTTGGGGCTTTAGATGGCTTTGGGCTTTGGTGTTTTTAGATGGCTGATATTAAAGGGGCTGTTTGGGGCTTTAGATGGCTTTAGGGTTTTAGATGGCTACATGATTTGAGGCTTATAGGGCTTTGCTCTAAAGAGTAAGGGCTTGTTGATCCAAACTTCGACAGCCAAAGACCAAAAACACGGACAAGAATACGCGAGGCTGTGCAAGAAGAGCAACAAGCAGAAATCACAGAACACCCAACACCCCAAAGCCTGTTCCTGAGCCCGGAGGGCATAACTATTCATGAAGCCCTAGACCCTTATGAGCGTCAACCCCAGGCAACCCTAAAGCCAGAACCGTTGTTCACTCTGGGTAGCTGGCTCTTTGGGTTTCTTCAGCTAAGGCTTCTCAAGGCGCAGCGCCTTGCCTGCGAGGCCTTGCCCACAGAAGCTGGGGAGAGGGGGGTCTTAGAGGTGGCCATCCCTTGTGGGGGTGTTGCTATGATGAGGATCCCCTATACGTGCGTGCGGGCACACATGCATAAATAAATTTGTATGTGAGTGTATATATATATATATATATAGAAAATATGTATATATACTATATATATATATATATATATATATATGTATGTATGTATGCCGATTCATACGTCCAGGGTGCCCGGCCCAACAACCCTAAACCCCAGATGCCAAAACCCGAAAGACCCACTGTCCTCACTTCCCTGTCACACCCGATGTCTGTATCCCGATGCCGGAAGACCCACCACCAGAAAGCACAGGTGTACTCCTTGTAAGACCCTATCCGCCCCACACATTGAAGCCTAAAGTCTACACCCGGCTGAGCCCCCAAGTCTTGTGTGCACGTTTTGCCCTGAGAGGTGCCTTGCATCGGCAGCCAGGCGCGCTTCAAGTCTTATAAGTAGTCTTAGGATCGATAAGGCCGGTAGGGCCTATTATGGGGTCTGAGCCTGAGCCTCAGCATCTGCGGTTTCAGAGTTGGGAATACCTCAAAAGAACAAAAAACACCACTGTTTGGTTTTGCCCGTGACTCAGTTGATTTGGGGGGTCGCGGGTTGGCTCGGGGACTGGGCGGGTTTGACTGACAGAATGGTTTGGGGAGTTTCAGGTTACCTTCAGCTTTCAAGGTTTATGGTGGTGCGTTTGCAGCCTCCGCGTTTATTGAACACTAGCGCAAGGACATGACACTCATGTCTGACAATTCAGTGTCCAAAGCAAGACCAAGCCCAAAGCGCCCAGCCTCAACAAGGCTTGCCTGTGATGTCGCAGGACCCAAGGGCAACTTCTAACTTAAGCCCTCAACCCGAAACCTAGACCCTTAATTGCAAGTCCTCAACGACTGCCTGAATTTCAACACCGAAAGCAACGAAAGGCGGCCTGGGCTGCTCGAGTGGAGGCTTGCTCGAGCGGTGGTGGTGGTGGGTGGTGGTGCGGAAGTAGAGAGGGAATAGAACAAGAAGATGCAGCAGCAGGAGGAGTAGTAGTCATCGTCGTAATACTAGTGAAGCCGCCATCGCCGTCGTGGCAGTAGTAGGAGCAGCAGCAGCAGCAGCTGCAGAAGGTGGTGAGATTGCTCCTGTCGAAAGCTTTAAACCCACTGTCACATGCTGTCTGGGGAATCTACAAAGAAGAACCAGTACTCTTTTTGTTTGCAGCTGCCCTGCACACGAAGGTCGATACATCTGGGAGGTGGGTCTTATTGCTGCGCTACAAGGGCTCTTGAGTGGATCATGACTAGCTGTAAAGGCTCCTATATTGCAGCTTTTCAGTCCTTCGTGTTTGCTGTTGTGAACCTTGCGGCCCATAATTGCTCTTCTGCTCAGTGGACTCCCAACAAGGCAACTTTGGCTCCACTGGTGTCCCTGGTGCTTTGGGCCTTTGGCCCTTGCTATCGGAAGCTTTGCTGAAAATCCAGAGATCTCCCGAAAGCATCGATGCGGCTGCCTTTCAGTGTCGAGGGTTCATGTCTGCTGGAAGGGGGCTCCATCCAGTACGGAGGGTTCACCCGGGATACCAATTCATTGCCAGGCGAATCTTCGCAGGTTTCGCGCTTTTCATGGTTGCTCAAGTTTGTGCTCGTGGGATTGAAAGGCAGCCATCACAGGGATCTTGTAGGATTTATATAGATAGATGAGAGATCCTGTTGCATTTGGGAGCCCAGCCCCTCCACGAGCCTGACGCGCCTTGAGCGCACGCCTCCCTAAACCATAAAGCTTAAACCCCAAACCCTAAAACAGTCCACTTCCGAATCAAGCCACGTGCCTATAGATGCTCTCGACCCAACATTGGCATTAGAGCAAAGGGCGGTTCCGCAGGTGAGGTTTGAAACAAGCAGGCCTGTGAGACAAAAGGGACGCTCATGGGGTAACGGTAATGCTTGCGTCAAACGGCTCGGATGCAGACGATAACCGTACCTGCATCGGCGGCCAACAATCAAGGAAGGTAAGTGGGATGATCGTAACAACGGTAGCGGCAAACAGGTTCGGAAGCAACTGCTAGACATCATAGTACATTCTTAATAGTACACACCCCTCATTGCGTGTTCTGTCCACGGCAAAAGCCTACGTAGCTCTTCCAGATGTTTTGTTCATTTCTGCGCCTGCAATAAGGAAATTTCAATTCAGATCGTCGAGCTGAGGCGCCACACTCGTGCAGCGGTGTTGCGGGGCTCTTGCTGCCTGGCTGATGCACACCCGGCCCTCATGTATCATCAGGGCAAAGCGGTAGGCTGCACCCCTGCGCAAGCACACATCGGAAAGGGAGCTTTGAAAATCCCAAAGTCTTTTTGATTGTGCTGCCAAAAAATTAGTCACTGTGATTCTGATTGAGTTGTAAAGACATGTCCCAGACGTGTCTGAGGATGGGGAAGAGCAGCGATTGCACAGTTCGATGAAACAGTGTTCGGGATCAAAAGACCCGAACATTTATTCATCTTCGTCCGGTTGAAGCTTTTTCGCCTAGCACAGCATGCGGGCTGAAGTCGAAACCCTAAACCCTGAACCACTATATCCCAAGCCACAAATCCCTGAATTCTGAGGTCTCGCCGCCTGGCCGGTGTCCTTGATCTTCTGCCTTCGGCGACGATGGCGGGCACGGCAGGGCATCGGTCTCGCGGCGGATGTACGGGCTTGAAACCCCTCAACCCAGACCCCCGGAAAGACCCAAAAAGTAGATCCCTTGAATCGGGGTTCCTATACAGTACCCTTAGTAGTATAGGGCCCTAAATTAGGGGATCTACTTTCTAGATCCTTCCGGGGATCTGGGAACAGAAGCCACAAAGCCTTGGAAACTCGTCTCCTACAAGCGTGACTGTCCAAGACCACAGAACTTCAAGAGCCCTAAAGACCTGAACCGTCAGAGCCGGCCAGATGGGCAGAATCCCAGCCTGCATTTCGAAGCTGCCGTTTTTCGTGGGTGTTTTCAGCGACGATCCAATCACAAGAGGTTTCTATGACGATGCTTTGAGCCTGAACCCTAAAGCCGTAAGACCATGACACCACGACCCGAAGCAGTCTTTCCGAGACTTGAGAACTTGAACCTTGTACTATGGGCCTCAATAAATATCTAAACTACTTGGGTGGTTCCTTGCTATAATTATAGTAATCATAATGGGCCCCCAAACCCTATTCTAATTATTAAGGCCCCCAGAGTAGACTTTCTCCTTCAAGCCCAGGGTGCTCAATACCTTGGAATTGAGGCATTTCTCCTGAGGTAGAAGAGGTGTCTCATTGTGTAGGGCTCCAGTCACCAACATCATGGGATACTGGGGTACCTAGTATATAGAGGTTAATTAGTAACCTAAGTATTAATTAGTTAGGTAGCTGGAGCCCTACTGGGATTGTCCTGCAAGCCTGCTATGCGCCCAGATAGCGTGCGCGGCGCTATCAAAAGCCTTGAGCCCGAGAATCTCGGCATGCCAGAGAGTCCTTAGCCTTTGTGCTTCAGGCCTAGAAATAGTCCGATTTTTGCTTGTAATAGCAAATGCCGTGCGACTTGCTGTTACATAGATTCGTGCTGGCACGAGGACAATGAGTCTCCAACTCTATCGCAAAAGAAGTGTAAGCTCCAAACTCGAACACCTCCAACCTCGAATCCGAAAGCTTTCGACGATGACCCAGGCCGGAGAGCCCTTAATGAGTAACTCCAATCCTTTCCCGAAAATCTTCATCCCTGAGCCTGAAATTGGAAGCCAAAAAGTATAATCCTTAACCAAAATCCAAACCTTCAGCCCCAAACCTTAAAAACCCTACACCTTACGAACAGCCTAAACATCTCTAAACCTTGAACCCTAAAACCCTAAAACCAGTACCTGTCCTACCAAGTCTTGCCATCGAGAGGAAGTAGGGATCCCGAGTAACTCGTCCTTTAGGTGACTTGTATCTGGTGTAGCTAATTGCAGTTTATATGCTCTTTGCCGTACTCTTCTTACTCTCCCTAACCCGCGAGAGTGTGCACCCATGACGTTCGGCACTTACCTGCCACCGACCGTGCTCACGACGGGATTAAACGCCACCTACTTGCTGGACTTCTCTGAGGACTTGGGCACTGATAGTGCTGGCTCGGGCACTGGAGCCGAAATTTCGAGCGCTACAGGAGGAGCAGGCTGCTTTGTGTGGGCTTGAACTGATCAGAGCGTATCTGCTGTACCTGCAGCGGGCCTGCCAGATCACAGCTGCACAGTGCCCTCCAACCGAGTTGGAGGAAGGTCACACGAGGACAATACATGAAATAGCCAATGGGCTTGTGTGGCGGACACGCCTGCGTATGTGGTACCTGAGAGCGGACCAGCTACTGGGGAACCCGGCCAGAAGAGACCTGGTGATGCCGGATGTACCCAGGTCGGAAGGTCCCCTCAAGACCGAATTTTTGCAGATTGGGGACTGAAGGTGCGCATGGACATCTCGGCCCCCGGTCGCCGCAGGTTTTCTGCATGACAAGGTGCACAGACTTCTGAATTTATGCGGACAGGTATGCAACCTATGACCTGTTATGCAATGGAGCAAGCTGGCATCTCTGGATGTGCTGCTTTCCTGATTTGAGGATGTGACACTGTCAATGCATGTGAATACGACTGCATGCTGCATGCCTTGTGGAATTTATATTTGCCGAATTCTGAATTTGGAACTCGCCCGGGCTGGGAGATGTTCTGTTGAGCGGTGTGCCAGACAAACATCTGGAACGTTCTGGAGGCGCTTTGCTGGTTGAGGCATGCTGCATGTTGTACACTCCGTGAAATTTGTGAATGAGTGACACTGGATTATTTCAGTGCCAGGATCTGCATGTAGATTCCTTGCATGGAAAGGCAAGGCATGGATCGGTGCACGTGTGATGGTATGCAAGTACAGAATGAGATTGTGAAGAAAACTGCATGGCGAATACCCCTTGCCCTCTGGCCCTCTGCGTGGTTTGTGGATCGCTGGTGAGGGATGCTGCATGAGTCTAGAATAATCGAGGTCGCGATGGCAACAACTCCTTTAGTTTTGAAACAGGGTCAGTCTTAATGTGGACGACCGAACTTTGCGGTGCTGCCAGTCGTGTTGGTTTGCTTGTTGACCTTTGCTTTAGTGATTTCTTACATTTGTATGTGCTTCTTATACATTGGCGGAACACTGCATCAACTAGTTGAGATCCTGTGGACTATGTGGAGCCTTGCCTGCCTTGTGCGAGTGTGAGCGTCGAAAACCAGTAATTTGAAGTATATGAGCATCAGCTCCACGTAGAGCATTCTTCGAGCTTTCGGTATGGCAGAAGACAGAGGCGATATGCCGAAGGCCCTCACAAGAAGCCTTCGTATCCCCTGACTTATTGCGGAAACGGCTCAACCTGTCCCTGCATCCTCGTCGGATCACGCTCAAGAACTCCGACGGGTCCTGGCGGCGCAAGCGTGCAGTCATGCAGGACTTGAAGAAGCTGCGTGGTGGCAACTGCTTTCTGGCGAGGAATCACTATCGCGTGTTGACGGGGCATGGGAAGGGATGCCCCAGCCACAACACATACACGGAATGTAGCCCAAGGGCGCGCCGCCTCTTGAACCTTCTGCGTGGGTATCCGGTCCAGTGGCGCGTCACAACTGTTTCGCAAGACGCCTCGGACGCCTACTGCAAGATGGCCCTGGCAGTCGCCCTAAACTTCAACCCTAAGTGCCCTTAGTGCCCTTTAAAACTTAACCGCAGCAGATGCACGAATGCAGCAGCTTATATCCGAGTAGGACTTTCATAGCCCATAAGGAAGCTCGCAATCACAAAGCGTCGTATTTTATGAAGCCGAAGGCAGAACCATCGTCGCCAGCAGTACTCGGTTAAAACGAGTCCACAAACACGAGTAAACTCACCAACCGTAGAATGTAAACTCTCCTAAACCCGCCCTAAACTCTATGGGAAAAAATTCTAAGTAGGGAATCTAGCCCTAAACCGTTCAATCGTCAGCTTCACGGATATCCCGAGAGAAGGCTCCGGCGATTTTTGGAAGACTGGGAAGACCGTAGCCGCAGGCAGAGGGTGCCGGCCAGAGGGTTTGGGGTGCTAGGGTTCCGTTGAGGGTCCTTTTTGTTGTCCGTACTATTTCGGAGACCTGAACAGGGACACGAAAATAGAGAAGTACTCTTATAGAGTCCAGGCTTGGGCTAGAGGGTTTACAGCTATGGAGTTTATGGGTACAGAGTCTCAGAGCTCTCTTTTCTTCTTATGGAAATGCCCCAGAAGGGAAGGTTGCTGATGCTGATGCCGCGGCGACTACTGCCGTTTTCGTCGTTGTCTTCGTCGTAGTCCAGGCAGAAGTGCAAGCAGAAGACCAGTAATAATTTAGCTGGAGTAGTCGTACTGGCAGGGCCAGACACATCGCAATCACCATCAATCATCCAGAACAATTTTAAAAAACAAAACAACAACGGATGTCCGATTTTCTTTTGCGAGAGGCTTTCTGCCTCCGAAGCGCCTTCGCTGGATGAGTTGGCCTTCAGGGCGCATGCGCTGCCTCTGCTCGGGGTTCCCGAGGTATTGCAGGGTCTAGGGTTTAGGGTTAAGACGGTTCCTGGCATATGTGTAGACCAGGTGTACAAGGGTTAAGAGGGTTTATGTTAATTACAACCAAAATAATCCACGTACTTTACGCTTGGTCCTGTGGACTCTGAAAGGGTCACCTGCAACAGGAGTTGTGCCCGCTGGCCCCCGAGCTGCAACAGTGGCTGAGAGGCAGCACGGAGGCGACCAGCCTTCACCTCGGTTATATCCACTGTTTAGGCCCTAAACCCGCCGGTCTCGTGGCTAGGCCAGACCCTTGATCCCATGGAACCTCTTCTTTGGGTGTGGGTGTTGGCGGTGATTGCTCTAGGGGTTTTTGATGATTTACTAAAGACTCCGTAGGGATCTGGTAGTCTTCGTTGATTCTTGGGCTTGCTGACAGTGGTCGGGATGGTCTGTGTTTGGTAACTGGGGTTGATTTGAAAGGAGCCACTTTTCTATGATCCCGAAACCTGTCTCAATCTACGAGGCCCATGGTTTGATGGGTTCAGTAGGGCTCCGCGAATCAGGGTTCGTTCGTTAGGCTTTACCTAGACTCTGGAAAAGGGCTAATGGTTCAGACCCTCTAAACCCCAAACACTATATAAGCTGCTTAAGCCCTATAGGTGATGGGAAGCCTAAGAGACATGCGCGTTGCAGGCGATAGGAGCTCGCCTGGAGATTGCCAGGAGCCGCCTTCCTTCGTGTTTGCAGGGTTGCACAAGGTTTCTCTGGGTTTTATAGCGGGTTTAATTTATTGTAGAGTTTGCTAACAGCTTCTGAAGGCTTCTCACGGTTACATGTAGGGTTATTCGGCTCCCTTATGTCCGGGTCTGTAGAGCCGGATCGTATGCACTTTGGGACTTTGTTTTCGCCAAAGGGGGTCTTCGGTTCTCTGAAACTCCGGGCTTCGAGCGTGTGATGGCATCACGCGGCAAAAGACCATCAGAATTCTGGCTTTGAGGGGCTAATCCGAGAATGTATGAACCTTGATGCTAAGATCTTGAACCGAGAGCCAAGAAAAGTAATGGTTATGCGCCGCCATATTCACGGGGACATATCCTACTGCATAGTCAACCCCCAAACCTTGGAAACCGGACTAAGGACGATGAGTGCAGGGAGCCCCTATGCTTTACTCTTGTGGATTGAGGATACTGGGTTTCCAGCCTCCTGCTGGATAGTTTGTGGGCCGAGGCGTTCGCGCCCCCCCCTCCAACAAAAAAAACGTAAATCGAACCCTTGAAGTCATTAAAAGAAGCCTGGAAGGAGCGCAGGAACCCTGAAACCCCAATCCCTTCTCTGCACAGGAGTCAAGAGACGTCCTCTGCGCCGCTGCGCTGGGCTTCTACCGAGGCAGGGGAACAGATTTCTTTGGGATGTTTGTTGGTTTGGGGTTTCGGTTGCTTTTTGGGGTATGGTTTGGTTGTTGTTGGGGCGTCGACAGTTTGTGGTTGGGCTTTTTAGGGTTTGCGGGCTGGGTTTAAATCTTGGGCTTGCTTGTGAACTTGTGGGCGCCGCTTTTGGATTGAATTCAATGAGCAGTTCAACCAGCTGTATTCGTTGAAGGTTCCAACGAGGTCTAATGTATGCAGTGCAGAGTCCTCAAGTACCGTTGTAGCCTGTAAGCATCTATTAGAATCTACAGATGTTGTTTGTGCCATAAACCTGAAACCGTTTTCCTTATTCGGTTTGTGGCTTGGGCTGCAGGTTCCGAGTTTGGAAAGAGGGTGGTACTTGCGAGTTTGCCTTCTGACATGGCTCAGTTCGTGGCTTCGCAAGTTCAAAAAGTTCCAGACGCCAAGCCCCGAACAAAAGCCTTAGCCCTGTACATCCTCAACCCCCAGCCCTGAATGACTTCGGCATAGGAGGTGGTTGAGTGCAGCGAAGAGAGCAGCACCCGCATTCCCAAGCTCCTGCCTCTCGGCTTCACATCGGGGGTGGGGCGGGAGGGGGGTGGAGGGGTGAGGGCCCGAATTTGGTCGTAGTAATCCCCTGGTTGAAAATCCCAGAAGATACCCGGTAGCCGCAAGTTCAGAAGTCACATCCCGATGAAGCTCGCGCAGGACCGCGGGCCTCTTGCCTGCCTATCTTTACCTGAGTCTATCTACATACCTATAGTAATAAGCTTAAGCTCCAAGGGATTCCAAGAGCCTCCAGGCTGATATTCCTAGGGAGCACGGAACCCTAAACCCTAAAGACTTGAGCCACGAAGCCGAGACCTGCAATCTTGAAGCTGCCTCGAACCCTCGCAATGCCCGTATGTAAAACCCAATTTCGAATCCTCATAAAGATACCTCGAGCAGAAGCCGAAAGGTACTGAAACCAGGTTACTGTAGGAAACCGTGCAAGATGTTTTAAAACACCCTGTTACAAGACACCACCTTCCGGAATCCACAAGATCTCTATAAGACTTTCAAAACCAGCCATGCAGAACGCGGATAAACGCTCGAAGCCAATTTCGAGATCCCACGAGATTCTCGACAAGAACAGAAGAAGAGCCCGTTGCTTTCTACAAGACCTTACATGAATAGTGTAGGAAACCCTAAGCCCTGAGTTCTATATACCCTAGACCCTAAAACGTACACTACACCCTGAAACCTTAAGAAACCCTTGGCCATTCTTTTGGGATTCAGGTTGGACCGAGCTTCGGAGGCTCTCTGATCGGTCGGTGGTCTGATTGTTTTTTTTGGGGGGGCGGGGGAGGGGGGGGCTTTAGGCCTTTTAGCATCTGGGTTTGTAAGTCTGTTTGTTTTGCTGGTTTTTCTGTTGGTGGATGATTCTTGTTGAAAGGGCGAATCGAATGTGTAGGGCTAGTGTGTAGGGCTTTAGGGCTCGAGGGGGTATGGGATGTGGGGCTTGGAGGGGGGAAGATGCTGCAGGTTCGAGTTTTTTGCACACTATGTAAAGTTCTTACGGTGCTGTAATATTGTTTCGGGTGCACTGTGTGTGTGTGTGGGTGTGTGGGTGTGTGGGTGTGTGGGTGTGTGGGTGTGTGGGTGCGTGGGTGCGTGGGTGCGTGGGTGCGTGGGTGCGTGGGTGCGTGGGTGCGTGGGTGCGTGGGTGCGTGGGTGCGTGCGTGCGTGCGTGCGTGCGTGCGTGCGTGCGTGCGTGCGTGCGTGCGTGCGTGCGTGCGTGCGTGCGTGTGCGTGTGTGGGTTGCTGTTGTTTGACGGTTTTGGTGAGGGCCGCGTTGAGAAGTACCATCGACGATCTTGAGTGTTATACCTATCCCATGCTGTACCCACAACCCTATTCTCATCAATTTCTCTGGCTTTCTACAAAAAACTATAGACGTTTCAATCCACCCTTCAAAGAGTTCCAATTTTACTTTAACGGCTTCAATGCTAGACCTCTTAGGGAAAGCTCTAAACAACCCTTTATTGACAAACTCTTGTACGACCCTGAATTCTGAAGATCTTCTAACGCCTCTTACTGCATAGGTCCTAGAATCCCCGAGCCATCCTCGACTTTGGAAGGCACGGGGAGTCGCCTCCGCTGGTCCCTCGGTGATGGAGGTCACAGAGATGAAGCAGCTGCTAAGCTTCGAAGGGTTTAGGGCTACCTAAACCCCAAAGTAGCTGAAATAAAGGCCCAATTCAAGGCCATTATTCTACATACTGTTGGGGCTTAGGGTTTAGGCTTCGGGAGTACAATGTGGTTTAGGGAGGTTCGGGGTTGAGGGTCAAGGGCTCTATTGGGGTTCGTGGGTTTCAGTGGTCGTGTTCATGATGAATCGTCACTATTTCCAGGCTTTCCCCGACAAACCGAGACACCTACCCCCACCACCCTTACCTTTAAGACAATGAAAGCACGCAGCCAGAACGCACACTGATCCCTTCAACGCCTCAAATTACGGTTTGGGGTAACTGAAACCGTAAATCACATTGCCTGAATAAAGGATGCAGCCGTAGCATCAACACACAAATCGACATATCCCTCGAAGCCGCAAAGTGTGGAAACCAGGATGTGGATGAACGTCTCGGGGGGCTTCAAAACTGCGTGGACGACCTTCTGGCGCGCGGAGACGGTTGATGTGGAGGCATCGGCTGTGGTTTTCACTCTTGGAGTCTATTTTATGCCTCAAGCGCGCCAGCGGCTCGCAAGTTGCGGCTGAAGATATGATTTCGACTGCCCCCTTTGAAATCATCCGCAGAGGATGGCATCGCCTCACAGCCTTTGTCGGCAAGCCAGGTCCGAGGCAGGAAGCCGAGTCTCCTTAGGCTTTCAGCCTTTAAGGTCCAAGGTTTAGGTGATCTCAGGTGCATGTGAATGTTTGTAGGGCCTCAAAGATCTGCGGATTTAGGGTTGAGGCCAAGAGCCGCCGGAAGTACGGTCTCAAGGCAAGGCAAGAATATGAGTAAATCTGACCTAACGTTTCGAAGGCATAGCTGAAGGCTAGCAGTATCCTTCTCAACTCAGATGGCGGTGTGAAGCAACACAACAGCCCGCGGCACCTACATCAGTGGCATAGCTTCCGTGTCACAGAGATCTCTGCGGCGCTTTGCTGCGACTCTTTGTGTGTGAAACCTCCAGGCAACTGGATTTTCGCAGCCTGCGTGCTGAGCACTACGCTCGGCTTCGTGGCCGTGCTCCTTGGATTGAAAGGACGAAGTGAGGAGCTTCACATGCCCCAGACTTCCCATCTATTCTTGCCCTTACTTTGGCCGTCTCGATCTCTTATGGTATGTCTCTCTGTCTCTCTCCTTGTCACCGCAGGCACTCACTCACTCATATTGTTCAAGTAGAGAGAGAGGGAGAGATAGCAGTTCCTCGTGGACAGTCAAAAAAGCTAGAATACAGAGTTTTATCTTGGCTCTCTACTTGTTGGCTGTCAGGGCTTGATCTCGCAGGTTCGCTCAGTCCCGCTTGCACCAAAGAGGCTAAACTTGTAACTTTCAGGAGCACACATTCCCGGTTGTCCCTTCCAACGGCTAGTTGCTGAGGTCACTTCGCAGCAGCCAGCCAGTCGAACGCAGCGGATAAAATCAGATGCGAATTGACAAAAGCGAGCAAGGTCGGGGGTCAGAGCTGGCGGAGTTTGGGGCCACTCATCGTATATTTGCTCGTGTCAATAGGTGCCCGAATCGCGAAAGCATGCATTGACACCTTTCGTTTTCTTCCGGTTTGAGCGTGGGTGTTTGCACAAGGATTCAGGTCATGCTTCTTCTGGCACATGATACATTTCGGATAATTCATCATCCAGGCGATTGGATTCTTGCTTGACGGCTCTTTGAACAAACGAAGTGCTTGCACCATGAGCCGAGAGGCAAGTCAACTACCCAGACACCTTCACGCGATTCGGTGAACACTGAAGCCTACACCCCCGAAGCCCTGCATCCTTTTAATTTCACTACCACAACTTTGCAAATCTCCAACCTACCCTTAACACCCCCAAACATAACACCGGCCGTGACCTAGACCACCACAAGTTATTTGCATTCAACCGAAACAGCTAAATCTCCTTGCTCCGGAACCTCTACGAACCCCTCGAGCCCCAAGTCCCAAACCCGCTCTAGTCAGCTTAAAAACGATTAGCCATAACACTAAGCCCGATAAGCCCTGCTTCGGCTGTCATCTTGCCTTCATGGCCGTTTGCTCGGCTGTGGCGCCATGGCAGCTGAACCTCGGTCTGTTAAACTGGTTGGTTCGCTTTTTGGGTTGAATGTTGCAGCGTTTCGGGTTGAGTGGGGTAAACTGGTAAACTTCTGGCTTTCACTGGACAAACTGCATGCTTGGCATGCATGCGCGAGAGGGATGCCGAGGACGAGCCATTTGTTTAATGTAGGCGGAAGAGGACTTGGAGAATCTGCAGGCTGAGTCGAGGAGGCCGTAACACAAGGCAACGTCATTCATCTCGGGTTTACACCGGCGAGTCCATTTTGGCGTTCCTGTCCAGTGGCTGGGGCAAGGTTCCCTGCTTCAGGAAAACAGCAGCATGGGAGCACAACCGGCGATTTCGGCAACGCACTGCAGAGATAAGACTTGACGCGGGTTGGTGCTTGGGCACACCTCGTGGGTTTCTTTGCTTTGTCTACTCAGAGTCTACTCTTGCACACTGAGTCCGGATTGCTCCCTGGCCCTGCAAAACTCTTTGCATCTCGTCATCTTCGTCTGAGGAGCTCCTGCTGCTAGTTGACCTCGACCGCAGCGATGGTGGAGCTCTGGGACTTGATGTTGTGCCGCGGCAGACACAGTGCAAGAGGTCGTTTAAGTACTGGGAGACTTTTTGAGAGTTCAGCTCCAGGCGCTAGGGTTCCTCTCTGTAGGCGTCCAGACCCATTGCTGTCTGTAAGCAGCTGAGCTCTAAATTAATTCTAAGGCTCACCAGCCGAATTGGGACACAGACTCTGGAATAAGTGTTGCTTCATGAAGCAGGAAAGGATACGTTTTTTTTTTCGGCGAGTTTTGATGTGCTAAAATGACACGAATAGAGCCTGCGAGACCATCTAAGGAAACTGGGCGCCAGTCTCAGAACTGGGTGCCTGGGCCTGTATCCAGGTTGAGGTGTAGTAATGTGATTTCGAGTAGGCTATTTGCCTCGAGTCGATTTCCGGATATGTGGACTCATAGTGGGCCTTTCCGTTTCAGCCTTTTGCATCTCCAAACGTGGCAGCACAGTGCCGCTTTGTCAAAGTGCAGTACTTGCAGCCTCCAGCTTTGCTGTGACGTCAGACTCTTCGGTCAAGGATGGCAAGACGGTGCTGATCAAGCACGCCGCTCGTGCAATTTTACGTATGGTAAGGGTCTTTCCCAATGAGAAGCCCATGCATGATCGGTTCATTTCTTACCTTTGGACATCCGCCCTGGTTTCATATCTGGTCGACCGGGCTGAATTCCAGCCTGCCTGCCTCACAGACGTTTGTGTTTGTTTACATGCTCACTTGCGATTTCAGTAGCGAGTATTTCACGGGCATCCAGACGTGGCTAAGTTTATTCAGGCACCCGACAATTCACTCGCATCGAAGTCCGCCTGTGTATCGAGTTGGGAGCTTTTCTCCGGAGCAGTGCAACTTCTGAGGCTTTTTGTGGTGAAAGAAGCAGCGTAGCCATAGGAGTGACGCGACAAAGATGTCTGTAACGTAGTTCACGGTATTACGCCCCGACTCAGGTCAAGCCAGACGGCGCTGTTGCACGATGGTGCCATGAGCGTCCGGGGACTGTCCTGGGCTCCCAAAGACAAAGACAACAATAAGCCGAAATCAGCATGTTTGATCGTTAAGTATTCGTTGTGTACCATCCAATATTCCAGAGAATGTCGCCCGTATGCCGAGAACCTTCATTCTCGGGGATTTCAGCCAATCACTGTGCGCGCTCAAAGATCTGTTCGCGAATGTCACAGAACTACGGGCCTGTTCTGCTTGGGGGTTCCTTATTGTACTGAAGCCACACACAGCTGCACAATATATGCTCCCAGACCCTGTTCTAATCCTTCAGGCCTCACCCCCTATTGCTCTACCCTTTGAGATGCGAGCACTCGGCTGAAGCAGGAGGGCCGTCCAGCCGGGCGACCGAATCGTCTCAGCTAACGGCCTTCGCGGCGATGCCCTGCAGAGCCGTAGCTGCAGAGGCGAATGTCAGCTATGCGTAATCAGGTAAGGCCGACCAGATTGCGATGAGAGTCCTTGAGGATCCTTCTAGGATGTTGTTGCTTTAGTCGTCTCTCTCTCTCTCTCGCTCTCTCCCCCTCCCTCTGTCTTAGCTTGCCCGTGTTTTATTCAGTCGTGCTTCTTGGCCGAGGATCTTGGCGGAGTGCCAGAAGCTGGACAAACTGAAGCTCGAGGCCCTTGAGAGAAACTGTTTCTTCGTTCTGTTTGGTGCAAAGTTGTAGTTTACAGGTTTGTTGGTTCTCGCCTGCATCCGATGGTTTTTGCTCGATACCTTGCATCCGGTAGACCTGTCAGCCTCCAAACTTCGGAAATTGTTGGCTCCACTCGCCTGAGATTCAGCGTTCGCCTGCCACGGCGCCCAGAGCACCGACTCCGACGGTAGCGCCTTTGCGTCCACCTGCGGAGGTTGTGGAGGACTCATGCCTCGCAGGTGTGTGGGGGCAAGGAGTCCGGCGGTTCCCGGTTGCCTAAGTAGCAGGAATTTCATAAAGTCAGCAAGGCACGAACACAAGGACAACGCCCTTGTTGGAGTTTCGGGATCCGTCGGTTCTGCGATTGCCAGCTCATGCTGGATGGACCCTGGACTTGCATCCTGAGCCACGGAAGCTCTTGGGTCTATAAGTCCTACATCCGAGTAGCACCCGTATTGCTTGGACCTCGTATGTGGTTCCAAATGCGACGACTTTAGCATCGCGCGTTCATCGAACCCGAACGAAATGTCAGTGCTTGCCATGCCACTTCGTCAATTGTGATATCCGGAAAGCATGGCATAAACTGGAGGCTTGGTCCCATGACCCCCGACAGACGAAGCCGAAGCAAAACACGCTTCGTCCTCAGGAGATCGGCCTCAAGTTTCGGGAGGCTGCCACTGCCGCGGAGGCAGCCACGGCCTAACATTCAACGTTCTCTAAGTTATATAGGATGCGCTTATGTGCAGGCTACCAAAAGAGATCCTACATGATAATTTAGAGAACTACCCTAATGTACCCTGGCCTATTCCAATTAAATATTCAGGCCGCCATTTTCATGGCTCTGAGGTGGCTCCTTCGTGTTGCACGCTGGCTTCCACCGAATCTTCCATCTAACAGGTGAGAACGACGCAGTATTCGGAACCCTGTCAACCCACTAGCCGGCATCTTGGCCTTTCTTGCCCGCAGGCGGTGGCCTTGCTGCGGAAGGAACTCGGCGCAGGCCTGATTGCTACCTGCGGCTTGAAATACCTGCTGTTTGGAAAAACTGTACTTTGGCGTGTTTTACAAGGCGCGGAACCTGCAATTTCGAACTGTTTCGACGTCTTGAATTGGGGTGTGATTGTCCGGTGAAGTATCGTCGCGTACGTGACCTGCCAGCACTTGCACGACACTTGCTCTGCAAATAGTGTAGAAAGAGTATCGACGCTATAATTGTCCAAATCGGAAGCTTCAACTCCAACCTGCTTTGCAGTGTTGTGAGATCACCACGCAGGTTCCATCGTCCGCTGCTGGGACATCCGATGGGGAGCGCAGGTCCGGACTTTCTCGTGCTATGGCTTTCGCTCTTTGGCTCTCTCTTTGGTTGTTTGCGTCTATCCCCCCTGCCATGGTCCTGCATTCGTCCGAGGGCACCATGCCTTCTGGTCAACAAATGTCCAAGAAAGTGCTCAAGTACTGAATGCACGGTTGTCAGCATCAACAGCTCGAGCCTGAAACCCTGCCGGGACTAGATGCGACGAACTTTTGCCAGCGCACATGCTCAATCGTAATCAATCGTCGGTTGCATAGGACACCGACAACTAAACCCCTGTATAAGCCCGATAAGCCCTACTAGTCCCAGAGTGAGCGTCGAAACCCCAAAGCCCGGAACCCCAGCCCCCATGTCCAGGCGCTGCTGCGCATTGCCCAGAGATCCACAGCTCGCACACGGAAAGCTTGGGCAAAGGCTGGCAACGCTGAAGCTTTAGGGTTTTATAGGGCTTAGGGAGATCGTATATAGGGCGCAGCAGCTTTTCGGGTTATAGGTATGTACAGGGGCATGTAAGGTGTGCGTGTAGGGGTCAGGGCTTGGCTTTGCCTTGGAGCTGAGAGTTGGGGTTTGGAGGTTCTGCAGCAGGACATGTTGCATGCTTGTTTGATCTCACTGTTTCTGTGCGGTTTAGCTTTTGGCCTGTCAACGAGAGCAAGGCCAGGTTTGGTCAATCCCCGTTGTTGCAGTCCCTTGAGAAGGACTGTAGCAAGGCCCTGATCGACAACTCATCTCTCGCTCCTTGGGTTAGCTATCGTTCGTCGGGTTCGTCTAGCAGTCTAACAACAAGAGTGACACAGTCGGCTATTGCCTCCTTTTTAGTTCCTTTTCCAACGACCGCGGCGTTTCTGGGAGTTTTCTGAAATTCAGCACCATAGGTGCTCGAAGCATGTGCCTCTTGCCCTCCTTTGATTTAAGTGGGAATGCAATTCTTCGACTTCCTAGCATCACAGTAAGAGAAGCTGTGCAAGGCACGCTTTCTTCTCGTGAAATCAGCTGAAGTAACGGACGGAGGCCAAAGCTTCGAAACCGAAACCGCGCCAGGACCCAGTGGTGTCGGAGCTTGTGGCACGCCTAAGAACGGACATCAGTCGGGCGGAGGCGGCCGCAGCTACGCGACTGCGTGTTTTGCTTGTTGTTTGGGGCCGAATTCTGGGCGCTTTGCTTTTTTGAATGTTTGTGTGGATTCACTTTCAAAGAGCTCAGAAGCTTCACGAAACCCGTCATTAGGTTCAGCACCTAGTCCAAACTATCCAGTCCGCGATGTAAGCACTGGAGAAATGTGTTTACAGGTAGGAGAGCGAATCCATGTAATGTAGCCATTCCGATATCTTTCCGTCGGTCCTGACATTTGTCGGCTTGTTGCTGCTCTTTGGCCGCCATCGGTGCAGATCACGTGGCTCTGCAGGCAGCCCTTGAGCCCGAAGATCTTGCTGGAAACCTGAGGTCCTTCAACCACTCGTCGTGTGCATGCTATAGGTTTGAAAATTTAGCTTGCGGAGGATATGGCGGACGTGGAGGCTGCTCTCATGGCTTTGGAAGGTGTGACACCTGGAGCAGATATCGCGAGGGATCGGGACTCCTCCTGCGAAGTCTGTCTCCAGTGTTGCGCAGATCCATCACCGTGGTACCTCAAGTGTAGTCTCCATTTGGGCCCCCTTCCTGCGGCGTTTGAACTGAGGTCTGAAGCGCCTGGGAACTATTCCTGGCGCCGCAGAGGTGGCACTGATGGCGAAGAAGCTTCGAGTACCGGAGCTGAAGAGGGTTGAAAGCGACATGCCGAAGCGAGAATCGAAACGACGACCAAAATCAAGACCTCAAATTAAGTCCGATAAGGCACAAGGCATGTTCTGTAGCTCTGTATGTCTGAAACTAGAATATGATCTTCTCCTAAGCAACATGATATATGCACTCCGCGGCAAATCGCAAATCCGAAATTTCGAACCCATCTCGAAGGACGAAGAATTTGCAGCTGGCTTGACCTTCCATTGATCCCCTGCATATTTTCGCTTTTCAAGCACTCCCTGACATCGGACCTGAGTGCAACAAATATATGCAGACGCAGTAAGCCGACACTGAACAGTACTGCTAATGTACTACTGCTGTACGACTCTTTTTGCTACTGCTGGGCTAGCTGTTCCCAGACAGCCAATACAAGTTTCAGCCACTTATTCAGATTCTGTGGTTTTGGGTGACTTTTGAACTGATGAACCTGGACGACCTTGATATCCGGGGTTTTTTCTTGCTAATCAAAGCTCTACATTATAGACATTTGGAGGCACGGCTGTGGGTTCATGTCTACTGAGGTTGGTAGCAAAGCATTGTCTACTATTACTCGTAAACACAGAAATCTCGTCTCATACAGTTGCGATGATTGAAGCACAGCTCTGAAACCCACACTTGTGAACTGAGGCCGTTGACTCCGCAAAGGTCTCGACCAAGGTGCTTCTGCCCGAGCTATTCTATGGCACATTGACGTCCGTGCATAGCTTCAACTCTGAGAGACTGAACGCAAAAGCCGCAAGGTTGCAGTTCGGTATAACACGAGCATTTTACGACATGTGCTGTTTTCGCGTATTGAAGAACTGAAGTCAAGAACCCAGCGTATGCACAGTCGAAGTGAATGCTATTGCTCTCTTCTTGCCTCCCTCTTCAGCAGTTGTCCACATGACCAAAAGAAGCACAACTTCAGGTGGCGTACGATATGGGGCGTTGGATACGCCGTGGGAGATGTCACAGATTTGTATATGAATCAGATAGGGACTACAGTATATTAGATACTCTGATGCCACACCGTACTATGGTACTTACGCAGGCGTCCGCACGAGAGTTTTTCGGCCCTACAGGCCTTCTGCCGGCTGCTTTGGCTCGCGGCGCAGCTGAGGGCCACGGCGCCAGGGCTCTCTGAGGCGGCAGGCCCCGGGTCTGTGAAAGGTTGGGGGCTTCAGGGTTTCAGGGTTTGAAAGGACCGGCTGCAAAACTGTGTTAGGAGTTTAGGGAATTCTTCGGATTTTAGGATGGTTGGCTTTGTCGGCGGGGGTTGTCGAGTTGCAGACTGAATGCCGAAGTTAAACCTCCCAACCTCTCGTTCACCAGTGTCTTGGCAGATATCCCGCCAGCTTGTGTGAACCTCCAAAAGGGCACGAGGCATCCGTGGCATAGTCATAGTCATGTCTGCAAAGACCTGCTAGGCTGGACCTGGGGTTAAAAATGCTTCTGTTTTCGTCCTGCATGCCGGAGTAGATGTAACCGAACAGGTTTTCTGACCATTGTGCCCAGGGTCTCTAATGGAGAAGATATCGAGAGTTCTTCGGCTCAAGCTGATTTTGCATGCTTGCACGCTTTACGAGCTGCTGGTGGACTGCCGGGCACGCGCCCAAAAACAGAATTCGACGATTATTCCTAAGCTGGAGTCGGAGTCGGCAAACGTGGCTTGGGAATCTTGCCAAAGGCTCGACGAAGTACCCTTTGCATTCAGAAGCCAGGGTGGGCCTTCCCAGATGCCAGTGAGCAGGAGAAGATTGCGTTTCGGCTTTCAACCGGGCCATGCATCCTTCATCCTCCGTCGAAGGGCTGGGCTACTCTGCCTCAGTTTGCTGGCCTGGGGCATAGTGGGTGCAACTGGCAGCCTGTTCTTGGTGGGCACCGACTTGAGACGAGCGCCGAGATCGCCAAGGACAGGTGACAAGAGTTGAGGGCCATTTTCGGCTGGGGTTTGCTGAGTCATGGCACTGGGTGATCGGGTGCACAACTACACCATGTGACCAGTGGCAGAGCTCCTGATGTCGAGGATCCAGCTCCATGCAACTTCAGCATTGCCTGCAGCTGATGACACCCAAAGTGCCTTGCAAGGTTTGAATTTATCGAAGCATCATGCCCGTTTCACCAGGTCAGCCTTTCAAGACGTCAACAGACATTATGCTTCCTGGACGAAGTTTTGACATACAGACACCTGACAAGGCAGAGATCAGGCGTTCCTGGCCCGCGTCCGTGGTCTTGCTGGAGAAGTGTTGACATGGCCTCACCTGGACCAGCAGAAGACTCTGGGACAGGAGATGTTGCCAGGATTCAGGGGTCAGGGCACTCGTTATGATTTTGCACATCATTTTTGGACATGGCGCTGCAAGGAAACTGGTTTGGTCTGCAGCGCTCAAGCTGGGTGCTGTGCCGTTTCAGGACCGTAGCGATTGCTTCAGTTCACTGATTAGATCACCGCTTCAATGTATTCGTTTGGAGTGCCACGGAGTGTTTAAGCCGGGCAGACACATGACATGTCCAGGAGTTGCCGCCTTGGATGTTGGAGCGACATAATCTGTCGCGTCGGGAAATGGGCTCGGACCTTATGGGATGAAGCGATAAAGGCCACCCTTCAACTTGTGCAGCTGCAGGGATCGTGTAGTACCGCAAAGACTCGGATACTTCCATGATGCTTCTGCTCTCGAGGTGTGGACCTCCTCAGCATTGATGGAAGCAAAGCGGTCCTGTGCCGATGCGGGCGCGGGAATTCCACCATAAGCCACCGCGACATCAAGCTCTTCCTGCGCACAGCCCGATGGGTTTGCAAGGTTTGGGGTTTGTAAAAGGTGCCCGAGTGTCCATTGTTGACATGATCTCAGCCGGAACGTTGGCAAAGGCAGACGAGATTGTGCTGCTCACGACATGGGGCACCCAGCTTAGCAGTGACTCCAAGAAGTGGCTCAGACTATACGATGCCAGGCACGAGATCATCAGCAAAAGCGACATCCGGAGGCAATCAGCTGCAGGTACCCCAACACCTAGCAGCGAGGCCGATGCCGTTGCATCCGTATCTTCACCATTGCGCCCTTGCCAGGAGGCCCCAGCTCAAAACTTCAACACAGTTGCAGCATGTTGCAGCTCATGCCTTAGTCTAGTCCTCTCTGGAGCTTTTGTCTCTCTTTTTCGCATGGTACTGCAGCTGGCAACGACCCCCGGCAACCTGTTTGAGTCAGGCCTGCCTGGAGGCATGTGCGAAGGGGGCTCGCGTGATCCAGATGGCGTGTGGGACTGGCAAGACGCGGGTTATCCGAGAGTTGGCCCAAAACGTTTCCGGGAAGGCGACGAGGGTAACAAACGACTATTGACCCAAGCAAGTCTCGCGTGTCTTGTTGCTGATGCCATTCGGGCTGTCGGGTCTGTATAGTACTAGTAGTTCAAATTTTGTCATAGTTGGACAGCACCCGCTTTCTGAGAACAATCGTATGCAACTTGTATTTACAGGTACTGATCGTGGTGCCATCGCGCTTGCTCCTGGAACAGTTCGCTGCAGAGTTTCCAACTTTCTGCAGGGTGGGCACCGGCTACAACACGAATATAAACAAAAGAGCTTCGGGCTTCATTGCAGTCGCGGATTCCGTCCATCTACTGGAAAAGATAGAGTTTGAAGCCGTCTTCGTGGATGAAGCCCACCATCCCCTACCACCAGGGATGCCGAGGAGCGAGGAGCTCTTTCGGTTTTCAGCGACGCAGCGCGCCACTCCAGATTTCGATTACAGCATGGGCCAGGCTGTAGAGGACGGAGTTCTTTGCGACTACGACTTGACCGTGCCTTTCATTTCAGGCGATCACGCCTATGTAGGTTTGGTGCATCTCTTGCTGCGTAACCCAGGCCGCTTCAGGCGAGTACTTGCCTATTGCAACACCGTCGCCGAAGCGAAGCTTGTCCGGCGCGCGTTTGAGGAAGCGGGCATGGCCGCATGGCATATCAATGCGGGCACAAACCGCAAGAAGCGGGAAGAGGTGATGCAGGCCTTTTCTGGAAGAATGCAGAAGCCAGTCCATGTTCTTGTGACAGTGCAAGTATTGGGGGAAGGTGTGAACATTCCCAACGCAGACACATGCATGTTTGTGGAGCCCCGGGACAGCTACACCAGCATTGTTCAGGCCGTTGGTCGTGTATTGCGTCAGCACACGGCCAAGCCACTAGCTCACATCATACTCCCTGCAGTGACCTTGCCGGCAGAACAACGCACTCTGGCCGGTGGTTTGAATGACGCAGGACTCATGATTTCATCCAGTGATGTTGCTAACTCCATTCAGCCGGATAGCTATGGTCAGGCTTCCGGTGCACATCCTCTCAATCGGAGCTTGCTCGTCGGATCTACGATAGCCTTTCAACAGGCCTCACCCCTCGGTGATGCGACCTTTGAGGAACCACACCACAAGCTAGATTCGCGATTGAAGTCGGAAATTGGTGATGTCGAGAAGGCTATTGCTGGCGATGCAATGCAGGAATTGAGCCGACATACACGCAACCCTTTGCAAAGTTCACTCGCGAGAAGCTTGGAAGGGATGCCTGCGAGACGAGCGAGGTCAGAGAGCCACTCAGCCGATGCATCTCCGAATCTGGATGTTTCGCAGAGTATCGGCTTGAACGTGAGTCGCGGCCAAGCACTTGCACGACCTGCGAACACGCGACACGCAGACGACAGAATCTCGAATGCAGCGCTTCTTGAGTCAAGTGACGCTGAGCAACGCCTTAAGCCTGCAGCGGCTTCAGCTAGAACTGGGTGTCAAGCACATGCAGGACAAGAAGCAGCACTGACGCATCGAAAGCGCGCCGTTCCTGTACTGGCCCGTGACGCACACGGGGAGTATGGAGATGAGCCGGAACGTGCGATGGAAAGCAAGGACGGTTGCAACTTGCTGGGCACCGTTTTGCGGATGCGAGCCGGCCCGTACAAGGACTGTGACATCAGTAAAGACATCGACCGGGTCAATGATGTCGAACCAGCCCCACATTCCGAGCAGAATGTCCCTGCTCGCACCCGAGTCATGCTGACCAGCCCATCTGGTTGGCAAACAGACCAGAGCTTTGGCCACTTTGGTTCGCAGCTCGAGCGTTTTGTGGTCGTTCTGAGTCATGCGGACAGCCGCCTGGCCACTTCCTCCATGAACATGTTGCGATCTCGCTTTCATTTTGTGGCCTGTGGCTGTTCGGCGAGTTTTAAAACAGCCACAGCAGAAGGCTGGTTCCGTCACATGGCACCGATTCTGCAGACTCCGGACCCTTTTGAAGCAAACTTATTGCAAGTGGAAGAGTTCGCCGAGTTGCATGGCCGACTCCCATCAGTATGCCGATCAGCATCAGGCCAACTGGAAAGGAGATTAGGCACTTGGCTGAAGAACCTAGGGCATGCATTAAAACGAGGTGGAATGGCAGCTGAGCAGAGATTTCTGAGGTTGCTCGCATCACCGGTATCGCTTCTCCGCCAGCGGGCTTCGCAGTGGAAGGATCCAGCTTCGCTTTTCCGCAGTCGCTGTGCGAGGGTGAAAGCCTACGTGGACAAGTTTCAGTCTTTGCCATCGGGTTCTACAGCGGCAAGTATTGAGTCGCGTGAGTTGAAAAAGTTTTTGTTCAGCCAAAAAGCCCTTTGTTATCGGTGGCCGCACAAGCACAGGATGCAAAAGGACGAGTTGAGCGCAGCTCATCCTTTGGTTGCTGAATTTCTCAACGAAAAGCCTCGAACGCGCGCTCAGAACTTTGTTAAGCAATCCTCACGTTTGTTACAATTTGTTATCCGAGAGGGGAGGTTGCCCAGCCAGGTTGGCAACCCACGGGAAGCGAAACGCTACTGGTGGATGTTGCAACAAAGAAGTCGGCTTCCCAAACTGCCACCAGAAAGGCGTTCGCAGCTTCTGAGCTTGCATCCACTCATTACGAGCTATTTGAAAAAGCCTCGATCTCGAAGTCATGTGCGGCATGCGACAGATCGATCTTAAGTGGAGCCACTGCTGTGGAAGACGCCTCTGACGAACATCGAGCTTGAAGATGCTCCAAGCTCGGCTCATGTGTGCACAGACAGAACAGATCAGAAAAGGAGAACGGAAGACAGATGCGTTCAGGCCCCAGCAGCAACCTTTAAGATCCTTGATATGGGTCCGCCATTGAACTTGAACAGGCTTTCTGTGTAGTTGCATTTCGCAAGGCTCACTTCGCATTCTCCGCAGCCGCCCAGTATCGGATTTCGATGGCTTCGACCTTCGGCCACCTGGCTTTGAGACGGCATCGGGGAATCCTTACCAAAACACGAATCTTGTGGCGGTCGGCCTTACAGAAAAGACTTCTGCCTCGGCAATCAGTGTAGCCCAAATGCTACATCTACAGCCATATGCTGACCAAAGCCATCCAGGATGCTTTTCGACGCTGCACGGCGGTGGTCTGAGTCGCAATGGCTGCAGGACCCACATGCCTCAAAGACGGATCACAGAATCGTGCAGTTAAGTTCTAGCAACAGGATACTCTTTCTTGTTCGGATTCCTTTACACATGGGTTTTCTGTAGGAGGAGAAGGATCTGCGGCCTGGATCCATCCTGGCCAAGGAGGCGCCTGTGCCCTGCGGAGCGACTACAAATTCCTCAGCCAGAACTGCTTGCCTGAGACTTCTGCAAGCCTAGGACGTTGGCGAATTTCAAGCAGGTAGCCTTCGCAATACTTGGATGCTGGACTTGGAGAGCTTTTGTAGTTTCATTCTGGCAGCATTTCATGCCATAGTCATGGTAGAAAACGGGATAACAGTACACATACGGTCTCCATCGGCTTCCCGATGAGCATAAGCAGGCCTCCAAAACTCAGCACCAGACTCACAAGAGCAAGGTCGGCGGCGCAGAACACAGCCTCAAGCTCTGATCCTGGATAATCATCAGAAGATCTTGTCGTGTTGCACATGGACCCTTTGCTGAGCAACAGGTGTCAGTTGCCGAAGAGGGCGTCCTCACGTTCGGCTTGACACTGAAGGACTCACCGCGATTGTGCTGGCACAAGTGGTGCTCACATAGTAGAGCCTGTTTCTCTCGAGCCGCGGCACGGCATGTTGTTTGGAGGAGATCTTGGAAGGCTGGAGCTTGCTCTTCAGCTTCGCGCCTGCAGCAGAGGCCTGCAGCTCCAGCTTCGCAACTTCGGAGCGGCTCAAGGATCGCGAAGCAAAGATTGCTCAGATGGATATAGTTTAGAAGGTTGTATTTCAGGCCCGACCAGCATCAAACTACTGAGATTCCTACACCATCCTAAGGAAGATGTACATTAATCGCAAAGACAAAGCTTCAGATCTTGGGCCTGCCAGGATGGCGCTGCAGATGGGAAGCTGCTGCCATCTCTCTATGTGGCGAGGGACCTCAGGGTTTAGGTTCCTGGATTTTTGGGAGGTTTTGATTGTGGACATGTCGCCACAGTGATCCGGAAGGCATCGGCTCACTCTGGGATCATGAGGACAAGCTCGAAACCATGCCCCTCACTGTTTGCTGCTTCGTGTGCGTCTTCATGATCTCTCCGGATCTTGAGAGGACGGCCGCCTCTCTGCAAGCTTCGCGGACACCAAGGAGAGTTCCTCAGCTGCAGTTTGAGGCATGTCCTCGCTTTTGCAGCGCGATGCTGTGCGAAAAGCTGTCCGATGCCAAGCTATCATGGAGCCCCAATTCAATCTTCTGACATGATTCGTTGTTGAATTACCTTGTTTCTAGACCAGAAAAGGAATGCTATCGGAGAGCGGAGGCAGAGTCAGTCTTCAGGAGCTTTTTTTGTGGGTTTTATGTTCCGCCGGACCGTATTGGGCAGCAAGAAATCCCAGCATTCTGGGCGAAGGAGGCTCTTACTCGAACTTCGATCACGGTCAGCATGAAAGAGCGGCAGTGCAAGTAGAAGTCTGCAGAGTTCTGGAGCCAATAAGACCACCTCTCGTGAGCAGGAATTTGACACACACTCCCAGCAGAAGCCATGCTACAGTTCTCTCGGCCGTTGTGCTGCATGGCGCACATGCCTGGTGGCAGCAACTCCAGTGGTTCGAGAATCCCACGTGTGGGATACCGAGGAGACAGCGGAAGCCTCTGACTGCTGCACAACTGGATCTTGCGCCTGAAATGTGGGCTGTGGCCCCTCGATGTCTTTGCCAGGAGTCTCGTGTTCGGCGGATCTTTCGCTGGGGGCTCAACTGCCTCGAATTGCGAACCTGCCAAGTGAGTTAGGTAATCTGACTTCACAGGCTTATCGCAGAGACATGATGCTGTCGCTGTTGTTTCGATGAATCGGGGGAAGAGGGGGGGAGGCCCTGAGACAACCACAGATCTTTGCCGGCAGCCATTTTGGGCTCAGCTCGTGTCGCACCGGTGTTCCAGCCGGGAGGAGAGAGCAGCCCGGCGTTTAATAGTTCTTTGTTTTTCTGTGTTTTGCGGCTGTCCTCCGGTGCTGAAGAATGAGAAAGGGAACCCGCGTCTCAACGGGCTACTAGTGAACTAAATCGACTAAACCTGAGCTTACACTTATCCGGACGCATGTCTGGAAGTAGCCAAGCCTCTTCAGCGAAATATTCCGCAAAGTTCCATGGTAGCCGACAGTAGAGACAAGTGAGCACAAAGCTGAGGAAGCTAGCCGAGGACATGGCAGGGGTGGACTTGGAAAGTGGATCCACGCATACCAGCACGACCTGCACTTCAGAAGATCACCGTGGCTCCGTCGTCATGGTCCGCGTTATTGAAGCTTGATTGCGGTAGGCATAGTAAACCGCAGTCCTGCAGCAGAGACGGTTGTGGCTGCACGACCAATATTCGCAAATCATGGCCCCTAAACCTATAACCCTTAAACCTGACTGTGTGCAAGACCAGGGTATTTTTGGAAGGAGCTCCTCTCGGGTCCTGTTTGCAGAGGCTTCTTCCCGAAGGCCATGGCATGTCCGTCGGCTTCGGACCACAGGGGTAGCTGTAGTTATGATTATGTATAGACTTCCACATCGACAAACGTATACTTATGTAATTATGTTTCTTTGTTTTATATTCACTGCCGCCCACAGCTACGATAGAGCAAACGAGGAAATATCTCGGATTACTCTGGCCATTGCTGGCTACGCCGTTGCCTACTTCTTCTCCATTCATGGCGGCCTGGTCGGTTCAGTTGAGGTTTAGAGTTTAGGATCTAGTTTCAGGGTTCGATGTCACGAAGGAAGCGTAGGATCCCAGTGATGATAGCAACCAAGACGTAAGCACATCGTGCTTGTGACTATCTCCGTCTCTCTCTCTCTCTCTCTCTCTCTCTCTCTCTCTCTGTGTGTATCTGTCTCTCTCTGTGTCTCTTTCTCTCTCTCTCGCTTTGGCTCTCTCTCGAATTGTTTTTCCCTATAAGTTCGGCTGGTACTATTAATATCTATGTGTGGGGTATCCCTATCTGTCAAACTATCTATGTATATATCTGTGAATGTATTTGTGTATGTCTATCTAGCAGTCTGTGTGTGTGTTATCTACCTATCTGTCTATTCATCTATCTGTCTATATCTTGCGACAGGGTTGTAAACATGCTTACATAAATCATGTCATACGTATGTACATGCACATATGTATATAAACTATTCTATCTATTTATTTCCACATGTATATGCATATATGTATGTATGTGCATATGTAGATGTAACCGTGTACGTGCATGTACCGAACATGTATATGTTTGTGAAAAAGTGTTTAGGGAAATGTAAGTGCATGCGCTTATGTACATGTATATATGTAAATGTATGTGTTTATGTCTGTGTATGTATTTGTATGCACATATACGTACGTATATATATATATATATATATACATACATGTATATATGCATGTAGATGTGTATGTGTACTCGTATGTGTATCCTTATGTGTATGCGTATGTACATGTATAGGTGCATCCGTATGTGCATGTCTATGTGCACGTATATGTACGCATGGTGCATGTGCGTGTTTATATGTGTATATGTGTATTCATATCTGTTTGTCTGTTTGTCTGTCTGTCTGTCTGTCTGTCTGTTCGTCTACAGACATTCATACATACATGCATGCATACATACATAGCCAACTTGTTACCTAACCAGTAATACTACCTAGTTCACCAGTCCCAAAAGCCCTGCACCCCACATCGGTCCGATGACAAGGTTCCCGAGAAGATGCTACTCGCTTCTTGCAGCTGGCTCTTTCTGTCGGCCTCAGCGGGACATGCGCGCTGGAAGGCGGTGTCTGGTTTTGGTTGCAGGGCCGTCTCAGGTAGTAGTCGCGGTCTCCGGTCCACCGGGTTCTGGCGACCCCAAATAGTCCTTAGCCCAAATAGTCCTTGGGAGGTGGACGTCTGACTTACGACTTCCTGTCTTGCCATCCCGTCTTTTCAAGAGGAGTTCCTGCAGCTATTTCCAAGTGTCCATGGACTCCACTTGTAGTCCCTTTCGAACCTCAAACCTCACTTCCAAACCAATCCGTTTGAAGGAGCGTGCTTCTACGAAACCGCAGCACGTCAAAAGGGGATCCTGGCCTTTGGTTGCAGAATTTTCTTTTGGGTCTTGCTTAAATAGTGTATTAAGGCCCTCGAGTTTGCATGTTGAGATGAAATAAGCATGCGTGGTTTTGCGACACCAAGCAGGTATGATCGAGGCTTCGACTTCTCGACCGGACGAAATCCATATGCCACACAGAGCACGCTGTGGTTCGCATCGAGCTGCGTTGTTGGAGTGGTTGCCTTCTTTGTGTACCCCCGGGAGTCTTCGCCGCAGATCGTCCTCGCAACCCTCCAGCTCTTGTTCTTTCTGATGTCGGCCCTGAACCATGCATATGAAACAGCGTCTCACGGCAATTGGCTTTGGCACAATATGAACCGTCCCTTGCTGAGCCTGGCGATGGTTGCAGGCGCAGTTTCCCGGCAACGAAGCAAGACTCAAAGTTCTACCTACGGATTGAGTCCTCATGTTGTCCATCGCACGGCCGTTTGTTACAACATGCCAAACAAAAAACGAGGCACCAGCCGGGGTGGCTCCTTGCCCCAGTGCCGTGACTCTGTCTCAGACCCTACACCGTATACCTCCTGCTTCGGGCAGCTATTGCGATCAAGATCCTCTGCCCGGGAAGAAGATACCTAAACAAATGCTACTTACTACACGAAGCGGGACAGTATGAACCCATGGACACGGATACATTTTGCAGTAGTCGGCACATGCCAGGGCAAGTCCACTCACTGCTACTGGCGTCGATGTCGATGCAAATCAAAATGGGAGGGGCAGCTCCTGAGACGTAGCGCCATGCTAACACTCTGCTGACTGCTGCTCGCTCTCCATATGTAGACCCGCCTCCTGCGGGCAAGGTTCCGATCCTCCTCAAGGACACTCAACTGAGTCATTTCTGAGCTTGCGGCCCAAATTCGCATTTTGCAGCCGCTGCCCTTGAGTTCCGCTGTACAGCACAGGGGCGAGAGAGGCCCTTCGAGAGCTCTCGGCAGAGCGCAGGGTACATACTCGGAGCCGGCTCTGTAAAGATAGGCTCAAGTAGAAATGTACGCCTGAAAATTAGTAATGCATCTATGACCGCTGAACCGTGGAATCGAAATCGCGGACTCTTGCAGCCGCTTGCCAAGGGTTTGAGCAGGTAGGGGCATCCTGATTTCATGTTGCCCCAGCTCAGGTATTCGTTGTAAGGGATCGTGATTGTCGCCTCCACTGATACGTTCTCGTGCTGTTGTTTCGGTGCAGTCAGTCGGTGATCGTGCGTATAATATATAATACATACATATACTCCATACACATACATACCTACGTACGTACATACAGACAGACAGACATACACACCCATATGCTCACAATACCTACAGTAACTACATGCTTACATACCTACATACATACAGACCTGCATTACCGACATACATACTACACATATAATATGTACCCGGAAGCTCCAAACACCGTGAAATTTATCAGCAAAACGTCAGAAACTGGCTTTGACAATTTATGCATATAGAATTCCAGTCGGCGCCCGCATTCAGGCTATTTCTCTCATAACTGCTAGTTGCCAGTCTTAGATAGGTTGGGATTCCTACTGCGGAAAACTGCGGTTATGACCCTTATGCCTCAGCGACAGCTCCCGTTTGCGCAGGTTCGTGCATTGCTAGAGTTGCATGAGAGCTTCGATCCTTTCATGCAGTCATGCAGTGCAGACATCGGCTGTATGTATGTAAGATATTTGCATATATATATATATATATATATATATATACTTATACATATACACACACATATATATATATACACACATATCCATGTATTTCTTTATACGCTGCAGAGCTGGGCCAGCAGACATTTCGGGCTCAGTTCGTGTTACTTCCGGCTTCCAGCGAGGCAACCCGGCTGCAGAGTCCCCAAACCCTTGAATCCTCAACTTACCTGTACCCCAAAACGCATAGGTGCAAGATGGATCTATGATGTAGGGAAGTCGAGTAAGGAATCTTGAGAATAACGTGCGCTTTTCCGGTCCATGTTGAACTGTGACTTAAGCCCCTCAGACATGCCAAGCTTCGTCAAGCCTCTGTAGCCTTGGACCAGAATTACATCCC